GAACAACCCTTACTCGAGGCGATCGTTGAGAGAAGGTAAGCAGCATACTGCTGCACTTCTCGAAATCAGCCAACTTCATTTCGCAACTTCAAAAACTCTACAATCGCCTATGGAACTCTTAAACTTTTAAAGAAACCAACTCAGTCAACTTCCCAGCAAAATTCGTTCTTAATACTTGATTTTGATCCGTTGCCTCGAATTCTCATCCGTTAGTCCAAGTTTCAGACTTCTAATTCCATCGTTCAATGGAAACGATTTGATTTTTCCTGTTGATGGACCACTTGGACGAAATGGGCCAAACCTGAACGTGAGTTGTAATAGTTTCGTGAGTTTGATTCGATGCATGAGACTGGCTGGCTTCTTTTCTGTAGAACTTTAATGAAGTACCTGAATTATTATGCTGATTTTAGAGAGCATCATTGATTAACTTTCTCTGTGAGCATATTTGCAGGAAACGTTGGAGTGTACAATTAAAGATGCTGAATTTGGTCGATGTGCTTTCCAGCAAATGACTCTTCAAGATCAGCGCTTTTGGATGAGCGCTATCTCATCGGTTGCTTCGAATATGGGTCAGTCCACTTTGATCTTCTCATTTATGATTATATCTTCATATTGTGAAGTTTTGATGTCCTCCCTTCGAGTATAATGGAGAAGCGATCGTGTGTCCGAAACCGCTTCAGATAGTTCGAACTGAGGACATTGCAATAATTTATCAGTTTCACTCGCTTCAAGACTCGCCAACCTCTCACTGATAAAATTATGATTTCTAAGTAAGTTGTTACAGCTGGATGGACGTTGTTGGCCGAGAAAATTCGTGGCTATCAACCGAAAGGAACTACTATGAGAAAGTGCACTCAGAGTTGTTTTGGCACATTCCAGTTGCATCCACCAGAGACCAATCCACCCGACAATCGTGGCTTCTCGATTGCACGAATCCGACGATGTGGTACACAACGACATCTGAATTAGTCAGAATTCAGCAATGTCCATCATCGAATCGCTTGAACTTNTTCCGCGGGGTTGTTTTCATACTGAAACTGATTTCTCTGATAGCGGTGATTGGTGTTCACGTGGTGTATTTCACTGAGCAAGCAACTTTTCCAAACTTCAACCACCAACTGGAGAATCTGCTCAAGATGGGAAAGGGCACTGGGGAATGCTTAAGCTCCTCTATATTTCAGCAATAAATCATTGCAAATAGATCAATCACTCAGTTACAATTTCAATTACCGACGTGACGCTCATTCGTCACGAGAACGACCAGCAACAACATCAACAGCAACGCTACGGTACATAAACACAAATTTAGCGATGCAAAACAATGATCAACGAAGCAGATCAAGTGTTGCAGATAATAACACTCAAGTAATATTTTCAATTGGGCAGTTTGTTTATGCAAATGAATATCAATCAAGCACACTTACTCTAGTTTTGAAATGATTGCGACCTTTTTCAATGCAATCGTCTGTGGTTACCGTTTCCTGGACTATCTGTTAATCATATGTTCGTATATTCATGCTGCTGATAACCACAACTCAATTCTGAACGATCGAATCGGAAAAGACTAATTGGCTCATTCAGTAATTAGAAAACCGGTTTCGATGGTTCACGCCGGCCAGAGAACACTGCGCTTCGGTTCACGTCTAGAGAACACTCAAAATTTCGCATNGAATATATCTTCAGCACTTTTCAGAGCATAACGCTAATTCGCGCAGTACCAATCATGGATGGTATTGTGTTAAAGATGGATGTAGAGAATGTTATTTGCAGATGATGCAAGGGGATCAGTTCGATGTAAATTCAGCGTTGAACGTTGAACAACGATTCAGACGAGCGGATGACGCCGCTTTCAGATGGTGCACTCCTGCCAGCAACGATTCTTCAACAGCAGTGATGAATGCGAATCGCAGTTCTGATCAACTCAAATCAACTCCACAAAAACAATCCGCTAACAATTCAGAACCTTCAATTCAAAACTCGCGTTATTTCAGCTCATTGGCCTCCGTCTTCGGATGGAATAAAGTACCTACATTTTTTGCTCCTCTCACGTGTTCATTTGTAGAGCCCTGCAATCTTGCGAAAAATTCCGTTCGTTGAGTCAGTTCAAGAGTCGATCAAAACCATCGGTTTGACTATCAGTTATTTCGACCGCCGTTTTTGATAAACCTAAGTGATGCTCTCTCGATTCGTTCGATAAATCCACATCGGATCCCCTGAATGAATAACGAGCAAATGAATTTGCAGGCAAAAGCAATATGCGAGAAACATCCGAACATCAGTAACGTTTGTGTGCTGGCACAACTGTTACTTGAAGAAGACGAAATGCAAAGAGATGCTGCTATATCATTGACGTCCTCATCGACAACCAGCTCTCGAACGTCCACCGATAATGAGTCTAGTACTGGAAGTACCACAAATAAAAGCGAACAACACCACAGCGAATGTACTGAAACAAACACAACTACAACTGAAACGAGCAGCACCTCAAGTGGAACCTCGAGTGCTACTCCCCAAAGTCAAAATCAATCTCAATTACTCGTTAAGGTTCCGAATCAATCAGCAGGTGTTATGAATAATCAAGAATCATCACCAGATGCTGCGTTCTCCTCGTCCACTTCTTCATCACCTTCACTTGATTTTCTATCGTTGAATCTATCATCATCTGCATATCAGATCAATGACCGTCTTAGTGATGTTGTTCTATGTGATGATTATCCAGACTTAATCCAGCTATGAATCCTCGAAAATTCTATTATTTCAAGTATGCATGTATGTATTACAGTACAATATATTGTCACTGTCGATTGGCTTATTTTAAAGGTTCATCGAGTAAGTAGTCTATTTTGAGAATGAAGCAAGTGCTTATTGGGCTAATACTACTGAAGGCTTTCCTCCTGAAAGTGTTCATTTACTTTGATTGCCCTGTGGAGTTCGTGCAGTCGCAGGGAGTCTGTTCAATCAGTTGACGCCATTTATCATCCATTAGAGCAGCAGCAACGAATGACACCATTTCCAGTCTAAACCTTATTTTGTGTGAGCATACTTATTCCTGGGAGATGGCAAAAAGACACTGCTCTCACTTTAGACGTTTTAATTGAGCCAATAGAAAAGAACAGCAGAATGCGATTGGACTCTTCTACTTCATTAAGCATGAACCTCTGTTTTGATTTTTCATCACTACGCGAATGGATTCTCTCATTGTCAGAGAGTATTACGATTGTGAACGCATTATTTAGCATATGACTATGTGAATGTGTATCGTTGTAGTGAGCATCCTCAGAGATTGAATAAATAATTTCTCAAGGTCTGGTTGTTGGAGTACATTCTCATCGCTCACATAGAACGATCACGATCTCATCATGTTATTTTTTTGATGGCTATTTCTCGAATTCAACCTCAAAAAAT